TTCCGAACCGAGCCGAGCCCTGCCGAGCAGCACCCGCCCCTTTCGCCCCCGAGCCGAGCAGAATTTCCAGAGTTCTCCAGTTGCTAATTGGGATACTTTTCCCTCCCCGCGCGGCAGCCCCGAGGCACGGGCACCCCCGCCCGCCCGCACACACCTCGGGGTGCAGTCACAGGATGGCTCCGGTAGCTCGTTTAAAGCAGAAATGATGCCTTGGCTGGGAGCACCAGTGTGCTGGGCTGGGCTGGGACAGCTGAGCATTTTCTGTGCCAGACTCACACAGAAAAATCTGCAGTACCAGGGCCTGACAAACAGTGCCCAGAAGTTTCTCACTAAAATTTAGAAACTGAAAAGTTTTCAAAGCAACTCTGGAGTTTCTTTTCAGAGAAGACTGGAGATCAGGGTCCTAAAAGCCAACTGGAATGTGTCAGCCTTGCCTAGAGTTTCACAGACTTTTGGAGTGTTTGGCCCTTACTGGAGAAGCTTCACATCCAGAGCTTCAGTTGCAGCAACTTTTCAGTACCTGAAGGGCCTACAAGGAGCTGGAGAAGGACTCTGTGTTAGGAACTGCAGTGAGAAGACAAGAGGTAACAGGTTCAAACTGCAGGAGGGAAAGTCTAGGTTGGATGTGAGGAAAAAAGAGCACAGCAGCTCTGGAGATCAGACACAACTCACACTCCAGACAAGCACATGGTAACTATTTATCAGCTGGGGCTGAAATACTTCATACAAATAGTAAGTGTTCTATCTTGTCAAACTCTCTTGCTTCCTCCAAAGGCAGAACACATGGATCAGCAGGGGAAGGGACATGGGACAACACAAAACAATTTGCTTGAAAAACATAAGACATCAGACTGAGAAGTGTGTGACAGGTCAGAGCCACCTTCCCAGCCCCAGCACAGGGAACCTCACAGCACAGGTTTCTTGGGAGGCTTTTCAAGTCCACAACACAATTTATACTTAAAATACTTTATTTCCAGTATAGTGTTCAGATCATTATCCAGACTTTAGCACTGCAGGCCCAGGACCCTGGAAGACTCAGCTATCCTCAGTAGTTTATTTGACAGCTCACAGCTACTTTCCATACCGTGAGGGTTACATCAAACACTCTCAGGTCTCTCCTCTCTCCTCACACCTCACCACAGCTCTTTGGTGGCTGTTCTGACAGATGAGCTGTTAACTGAACTGTGGAGAGCATTCATTTTGCCATTTTCTAGCCCTTGAATACTTACACAAATTTAGTTTTCATCATGAACTGTTGACAAGAGAGGAACCAAGATGAATCCCAGAACATGGAAGTGTTTTTAGAGACAGAAGTCTTGACCTTAAAGTGTGCTCACACTCATCAATTCATTTCACTCCTTGCTCCCTGTCCAGCTCCCTCTGCCTGTCAGGGTGCTTTCTCCTCCACTCTGCCTGTGTCCCAGAGGAGGAAAAGCTCAGGAGCTACTTCTGCTCTCAGGGCAGCACAGCCATGAGGAAGTTCTGCTCTGTCTGGGCTCCAAATCTCAGCCCAGAACACAGCAGACTCTGACAGGAAGACAGATCTAAGAAGAGTATAATGATATGTGCTTGGAAACACTGTCACTTCATGAACTCAGTAAATTTTGTTATCCTCACAGCCTTTTAGGCCACAGGAGTGCAATTTAATTGCTAACAATTAAGGGCAAACCAGAACAGTAAAAAGAAAATTTGAACTTCCGAGAGGGTCTCTGCTCTGGCAGCTCCTGTGCTCCCTCAGCTGAAGTTTATGAAGGTGCTCTGGAAGATTCCAAATCCAGTTGTAAGAGTTCAGCAAGTTACACACTACTGACAAGCAGTAAGAAGTGAGAACTGAGGCTGCTGATAACAGCAGGTGTTACATCCTGAGCACCTTGTGAACATCCACCACCATACATGAACATAAAGCACAGCCCTAGCTGCACGAGCTGAGGCACTGCTGGTGCCACACTTAGAAGCTGTTCTTCCTAACCACTTGCATTTCGGACATCGTTCTCAAGTTTTCAGAGGCAAAACACAAACAAGTTTCTCAGAATAGAGATGCACTCCTCCATGGTCCCCATAAAACTGTCAGCCTTCAGACTGAGAGACTTGGATCTCTATCAAAACTGCAATTAAAAGCCAGTCCTGGGCAGTTCATGTTGTTCGGTTTATGACCATGAAGTTCTACTATGGCATAAATATCACCAGAAACAAAACTCTTCACTCTTCTATTGCTGTTCTATTATAATAGGAATTCTAGTTTAAAATTGAATATGCTACTTCATATTAAAAGTTTGGTATAAAACCAGACAAAAGCAATAAAATCAATTCATCCAATCTTGGAAGTCAGACGTCCTCTTGCTTGGACTTGGGCTACAGTTCAAGAGTCCTTGGTAAACAAGCACGGTGAATCCTGTACAGCTGGAGATATGGAGTAAGCCCTGAGGGATTACACATGAGGTTTAGAGCCTTTGCCAGAGTTCTTTTTTAGAAGAGTCTGCTTCTGACTTCACGTTTTACCTGGACAAACCCTCCCTGTGAGAGGCACATCTAGCCTCTCAGGCTTAAGAAAGTAGCACGAATAAGATCAAGTAACATTAAAAGCACGAGGAGTCCTCCCCCACCTCTCACACCTCCCCATGAAAAGGTTGGGAGAGAACTTAGTCCCCCACCATATAAAGTCCTACTCTGTTTTGTCTTCATCCTCTGCAGCATAGATGGCTTGATTCCTTCTCTTGATTTTTTTGATGCCACTGTTCCCGTTCTCGTCGCCACCAACGCGCTTCAGCGGTCTCTCCGCTGGGCTCTTCTCCTCCACCAGCTTGCTCACCCCACACTTCTCCAGCTCCTCGTTGTTGGAGTCCGTGGCATCGTCGGACGACACTGCCATGGAATCTGGCATGATCCGGATGTCAGAGAAACTGGCAGAGAAGTCAGGAGGGTGATCAGGGGAAGGATCTACAGAGCATGTACTCAAGTCTTCATCACCACCTTCTTCATCCAGCATTATTTCGTCTGGATTGATGGATGAAAGGCCAGAATTATCTGTGTTATATTCACTGGGTTCCTCTGCTGACCCAGTACTGTCCATCTCCTCTTCCTCCTCCCCGTCATATTCGCCTCGTGCTGAAGCCTCTTCTTTAGCCTGCTGGATCCTGTCATTGATGTCAGTGAGGCCAAACTGGGCACAGAACTCTGTGGTCTGTGGGTTGATGGTGTGAACGGGCTCCATGTTTTTCTGGGGCTTGCTGGGATCGTAACAAGCAGCTGTCAATGTGAAGTTGGAAGGAATTTTGAGGTCATGATTCAGCTCTTCCAACACCTCTTTGATGGCCTCTTCTGTCACACTGTAATCCCACCTAAACAGATGCACAGCATTCAAACAAGTGCAGCCTGAGAAAGAGAAACTTTCAAAGACGGGCAATAAATTCACCTTACCACAGACACCTCATTTCTCTAGTGATTTTTGAGGAAGGCTGTCAGTTTCCCTTGGTCAACACTGACATCCCCCTCTCTCCACCAAGGATTTGTGTATGCTGTCAGCCCACCCCCCGAGCCCAGCCTGATTCCCAGCCTCACAGGGGAATTGGCACACCACCCATGCTCTATTTTCTGTCCCTCAAATGGTGCTGCCTAAGGTTGCAGAACAAAACTGACTGCCCAGATTGAGCAGAGAGGAAGTTGCATGCTCTAGAGTACAGCTTTTGTCAAAACCTCCTTTGCTCTCCAAGACATTTAGCCAGTCCCACAGGCATCACAGGCTGCAGAACAGAAACACAGTTCTAAGGCAACTTTACATTCGCTCCAGAAAAACACATAAAAGTCACACTTTCCCCTCTCCTCTGCAGGCAACTCACTTTGCATGGAGGCCATTCTTCTCAGGCATGTTCCAGGAGCTCTGAGTCACATTGATGAGGCTGTTGGTGGCCTTGAGCACTGCAATCCACTCAGCATCATACTCCAGCGAGTCACCTGCACTAGGATCATGCTCCACATCTATTATCTGCTCACAACAAGTACAGAAATCAGAGCAGGCAAGTTATTTCTCTTGAGAACTGAAGCTAATTAAAGTTTCCAGGGTCACTTTCCAGGGATAGTTTTAATGAAGCTCCAGGTGCAGAGCTGGATATCACCATCCAACAAACCCTCTCACTTGAGGCCTACATAGCAAGTTACAGCAATGAGAGCTGAGGAAGGACAATCCAGAGCAGTACAAAAGGCATTTCTGTGTTTTATCTTACAGCAATTAAAAAGCAGGACACTCTCCTCCCACTGCCAGCAGCTGGGCAGTTCTGCACCCTGGAAACAGAGCCTGCCCCCAGAAATCCATGCTGCCTCCCAAGCAGACACACACAGAGAACTGAGAGCAGCAGTCACTCTGCTGCATGAACACACTCAGCACAGCAATGAATGGACAGGGAATGTTTTAAACTCTTTCAACAGCTGAGGAATTGAAATTCACATCACTTTGTCTTCAGTGACCTTAGCCCAAATCAAACCCTTTGGGTTAGCCAAAGCCCTAGTCAGGCGCTGACTCTGGCACTCCATGCAGTAGTTCAACCTTCCCAACTGCTTCCCACTCCAGAGCAGTTTTGCTACAGGTTTTCAGTCTGGACTAGCACCCCAGTGTCTCTTTGCATAGCAAAAGTCCATCCACATACTCTCTGCCAACTACTAGGGCAAATGGAACCCACCACACATCCAAGGACAGGCAATGAGCCACCCTCCCTCTGAGCTGACAAATTAAAGCTACTCTAAGGCTACTGAAACCCTGGAGTGCATTTGAAGACCATGTCGTCAGCAGCTCCCTCCCACAGCCAAGGGTCTGCACTCACCCACTGAAGTCACTGTTCTAAGGTGGAAGGGAATGGCAGGAACAAGCAAACACTGTCCCTGCATGACAGGACCCAAGGTCTGTTTATTTCCAGACAAAGTTATACAAAGACCATTCCACACATCCACAAAACTCATGGATTTATCAGCACTATATCTATGCACAGCACAAGTGAAGTACTGGAGGTGAAACCCCAGTGCCCATGGCCTTCACCTGCAGGAAGTCTCTGTGTGGCAGGCATTTATCCAGGGCCAGGAACTTGGTTGCTTTTGGTAGCTCTTCTTTGGAGTTTGTCTAGGAAATAAATGGTGTTAATTCATTAGCCTTTCTGTGGAATTTGACCATTCTAAGGGAGGTTTAAAGGCATAATTTCTACAGAAATAAATACTTTCTGAAACAGAAAATCAGCATGGTATTAATAAGAAAGGGCTGGAGGGGCAAGGAGAAGGAAAGACTCCACTGAGAGTCCAACAAGACGCTGGATGCAGATGACAGCAGGATAAAGCCAGAGCCACACTTCATCCCTGATCGAGGGGCTGAGCACATCCAGCCTTGGAGCAAGAGGAAAAGCTGTAAGAGAACTGGAAACAGACTTGCTGAGTCTGCAAGGTCTAGAGTTACAGTTCTACAGCTAAATAACAGCACGTCCTGCCACTCTGCAGGAATAACTGCCACAGCCACAGGCACAGGTTTCTGGCTTCACCCAGGCCCCAGCCAACCCCCAGCCTGTGCTCACCACAGGCCTCCTCCCACCCCAACCACCACCTCAGCCACCTTGCTCTCAAGTTGTCTCCTGCCCCAACAGGCTGGCAAAGAGAGTGCTGTGCCATACAGCTAAATGAAGGACTCTCAGGAGCAGCAACATCAGCTGTTTCACTCTGTCCCTGAAGAAGATTAGGGAGTTGCACCCCTGATTTACAACATCCCTTTCACCTCTATCGTTGTCTCAACATCACTGATTTTTTTCTGGCTTAAGCTGAGTTTTAATAACTGAATCCCCTTTTCTGGACATGAGTATCTGCACTGGAATTCTAAAATGTGCTTGGGACACAGATGTTCTTCATTTTTCCCCTCTTTACCTCATGTTGCATGAAAGCTGCAAACTTCACGTGGAGGTGTGCTGAGAACCAGTAGGTGGGTTTGAGGTGCTGCAGGAGCTCTGAAGCAGCAGGGCTGCCCAGAGTGTTGCTCTCCACTTCTTGGCGGAAGAAGGACTTCATTTTGAGCAGCTGTTTCTTGTTCCCATAGTGGTATATGCTCCTGGGCCAGTCGTGGGACATGAATATATCCATTGGGCGCTTCAGCTGCCAACCCAAAGTGCACAGGGTGTAAACACACATGAGAAAAGAGTTCACAAACTGCATAGCACCAGCTGGAACAGTGTAACCTGCCCCACCTCAGACCAGCACAGAGCCAGCTGTGCCCAGCAGCCTGTCCCAGGGCAAGGCAGAGCAGCACTCAGCCGCAGCACTCAGGAGGCCTCTGGAGCTGCAAAGGGCCTGCAGTGTCCACAGGTTGGATGACACTGTCTGGGGACAGTTGGCTGTGTTTACACATTGCATTCTGAAAGAGATCATATCGCCCCCGTGAGTGCCAGGCACTCAGGAAGTTACAGCTGTAACTGTACAGCTCTGCCCACAATCACAGCATCCTCCTCCTGAACTGCTGAAAAGCTGTGTTTAGAAGGGCTGATGACCAAGCAGAATATTCCCCCTCAAAGGCAGCGCCCTCAGATGTCTAATCAATGTGTTAAAACATGTCTGGGTTCAATACTCAGCCTATTTCCCGCAGCTGTATCAGAGCCCACTTCCAGCTGAAAGCTGAGTAAAGTACCAAGAAACTGACAGTGAAATGTACCAAAGTTTTGCCGGTGAAGCAAACCCTTGTGCTCTGTTCAGCATCCTACATCTGCTGAACTAAGTGTGCAACGGCAACCTGAGCAACCACTCACAAGCTGCTTGTGAAGACAGGTCTGCACACCAGAGCCTCAGCCAATGGAGCAGCCCTTGTGACACAGCAGAGTGGGCAGCAGCTCGAACACAAACTGTCCTTTAAACTGCTCACCCTGGACTCAAAAATACTTCAAGCACAGGAATTTGGGATCAGCTTATTCAGCTGGTTCAATTTTGACTATTTAACTTTGTACCAATCAGCTTGCATGTTAGATAAGATAACATCCATCTTCCTGAAGCTAAAGAATCTGGAATACCTTCCATGCTCTGACTTTTGTCCAACCCAAAAGAAATCCACCAAAAAACCACTCCTGCCTGTACCTGATTCAGATCAAACTTGCACTGGTATGCGAAGCACTGGAGGAGATACTGAGCAGTAGCCACAGTGGAGTAACACCCAGCAGGAACTTTCTGTTCAGGTTAGCTGGGAGTTGTGGGTAACATCTGCTACCCAACAGCATACTTGATCAGAGCAGCTTTAATTGAGTTCTCAAATTATGAAAACTACCACTACTTTTGAAGCAGAATACATTTTTTACTTACCTGTTTGAGTTTGAAGACTTCAATATTCCTCACATGGTAAGCACTTCTAATGGTTTGCTGGTTGTATGGTGGACACTCAAAGTGGCCTGAAACATCAAAAACAAGTTGCCTAAATCACTAGTTCCCTCCTCCAGTGTTGGCAAGGCAGCTCTTTGGGTCACACAAACACCTGGAGCAATCCCAAACACAGGGCTGGCAATAATCAAGCAGACACTGTATTTCCTTTACACAGAGCTTACCCCGACAGGCTGCTAACCTTCTGTGTGTGAAACAAACAGATTGTAAAAACAACAGTGAGCAGTCCTTTCATTCTACAGAAAACACAGGCAGTCCATTGTGGAAACAAAACCCAGTTTGAGTCCAATACTTAAAGGCCAGGACCTATCAGAAACAAGTGACTTTTGACAGAAAGATTTCTGAGGTTTGGTACCTCCCCTCCACTACCTCTCCACCCTGCCTGCCTCCACAGCCACACTGCCTGCAAGCCCACGGATGGAGAGCTGTGTGCACAGCCAGGAAACTCACCCACCCAGTGATAGCACAGCTTCACGGGCCAACATGCTGCACAGCCAGTGAGCATAAAGTGGGTGGGAACAAACTGAAATTGGCATGGGCCCAGTGAGAGCACAGGGCAACGCACTGTGAGTGGTCAGAACACAAATCCAGGTGTAACAACTCCGAGAGAGGGACAGACTGAAAGATTACAGAGCATCACGTGAGATCTGGCTCAGGCCACTGAGGCTGTGATTTGTGTGTTTGTTCTAGAGTGCTGCCACCGACCATGAAACTGCAGCTCAACACGGTCAGCAGCTGGAACAACCCTGTCACTGCCCCCAGGCCCCGCAGGCTCTGGGACTGCACTCAGGTACCCTGACAGAGGGATGAGCTTCCAGCTTTGCCCTAGGACAAGGAACCAAATGCCTAGCATAGCTCTCGTGTACAGAAAAGTTACAGGATTATTGTCCAGAGAGTCCTGTCTCATTTCCCACACGCAATGCTCAGGCATCCAAACTGCACGCCTCACAATAACAAATTTAATTAGCACTGACAGGTATTAGACAGAATCAGGTGTTCCAGAAAACTAGTTCAGTACTTTGCAGATGGAAAGTCCCATGCAGAGCCGCTCTGAAGAGGTGTATTACTGAAGATAACACCGTAATCACAGGGATTTCTCTTTCATGTGCTGAGATCAAAAAGAACAAATCTTCCACTCACTGACATGGGGCATCACCTGTGGCAAGACTTCTGTCCACCCTTCCAGGGAAGAACTCGTGAACATACACACATGTAATAACAAGGAACTGATCTCAAGATGTGCCGACACTAAACCTCAGGGCAGGACAATGCAGTGCCACACCGTTTCACACGAAGAGAACCAAACAGCCCAGTGCTGCATGCCAAAAGGACACTGCCATGGAACAGCCAGGACTGCTCCAACAACCCACCAGCCCAAGGGCATCCTGCGTCCTGCTGCGGTCACCGGGCAGCTGCCGACTCACTGCCGAGCCCAGACAAACGCCCAGAGGGGTGTGCGGCACGAGGCCGGCTCGGGTGAGACCCGCCGGGCGCAG